TTTTAAAAAAAAAAAAAAAAATATATATATATATATATATATATAAAAATTGTGTTAATTTTTCCTTAAACAAGCAAAAATATCTGCCAATGGGGCAAGAAAAATAATCTTGTTTAGCCTTTGAATTAAGATTATTTTTCATACCCCATTGGCAGATATCTTTGCTTGTTTTTAGCAAAAACTAACAAAATTTTTATTATTATTTTTTTTTTTAGAAAACAAGACTTTATATTTTAAATAATTTTACTTGTCAAATAAATGCATCTTGATTCAAGAATGTTTAGATATTTATTCTAGAAAACAAAACACAAATACTAAGTAAGAAAATCATTTTTTTGCAGCGTTGCTTCAGACTAGTGGAAAGAATGCGTCTAAAATACACTTTTAAGTGTTTATTTCATTGCACTCTTTAAGCCTTTTCTCCACTTCAGCAGCATTTACACCAACTTTTAAAGTTGAATTCCTATTTATATTCTGAAGGGCTTTACAGAGGGGTTTGCTAATTTATCATTCACCAGGTTATCTTTCATTCGTAAAAACATGTTTTTACATAACATTTTATTTCTCTGTCTTTTGACTGTATTTTCTGAATTATGGAGTGAAAATCCAACCTTTAACTCTAATATGACAACAAAATCAAACATTCACTTCATCAATCATACATTTCTATTCTGGAAATGTATGCAAATTAGTGCATATTTAAACATAACATTTTTTTGAAAACTTGCAATACAGAAACATTTGCAATTCCTAATGTAATCAATCAACTGGGGAAGTATGGTGATATCTATTAGTTTAATTTTGAACCCTATTCACCTGTAGTGTCTTAATGCATCTTCCATGTCTTACTGAGAAGAATTCATCAGTGGTTATTTTCGTATCCAAACTGGTAAAATATTAGTTTTTCTGGTACATTATTATAATTGGTTCAGGCATTCATCCAGCTGACTCGGTCTCTAATAGTTTGGTTGTGATTTTTCCCAGCAGACATGCTCCAGACCGAACCCTTCCCCATCCGCAGATGCTGCGGCCGCCGTATGAATACCCTCCATCCATTCACATCCCCCCGCAGCCGCGCTACCTTGCCGAAGGAACAGACTGGTACGTCTGTATTCAGTGACTTGATAAGCTAGTACCCTGTTTGGTTTTGACCGACTGACATCGTTTCTATGTTCGTGTTCAGGGATCTTAGTGTGGATCCAGGCCTGCCGCAGTACCACGTCTCTCCCCTCACTCAACATTATCAGCATTACTTGACCTCTCCACGACTGCACCACTTCCCCAGGAACACCACCTCGGCACAAGTGGTCAGTCTGAGCCTTCTGTACCCACTGCAATCCAGTGTTGGGGGTAGTAATGCATTACAAGTGACGCGAGTTACGTAATCAGACTACTTTAAGTAAAGTAACACATTACTTCTTAATTTAGAAGGAAATATCTGAGTTACTTTTTCAAATAAGCGAATCCAGTTACTTTGTTTCCCATGTCTTGACTGACAGCTCTTGTGTTGCCATGGTGACAGCGGAAAAAAGCAGCAAAGCGAGCTGTTTTGTACAGCTAAAAATGGCTTAAAGCGGATGAGACTGGAAGCTAGACCCATTCAATTTACTGAATTTGGGCTTTTTATGCAGTATCACTGTCTTCAACCAGCCATGTTAAGCTTTTTTATAATGGTTTTCTATTAGAGGAAAACACTTAACATGCATGCACTTTTTTTGCGTTCATATCCTCAGCTGCTTGCCTGCATACAGTTTGCATCATCAGTACACTGAGTTTGGCCTTTAAATATTACTTTCTTAATGCATTAAGCCACGGTAAGTTTTTTTTTCTTTATAACTCTCTTCTATGGGAGGAAAATGTGTAACATGAAACTTTACGCATTGCTTTCATATTCTGGGCTCCTCTGCTGGTAAACTCCTTTCAGAAAGGCAAAGAATATCCACAGCTATTTTAGACATATCAACATTAGTTATTGTTCATTTTCAAAGTGTAATTGGTCATTTAAATGTATGTTTTTAAAAGGAAAAAGTATCAGTATCAGTATCAGTGATACTGGCCCTGAATTTACTTGGTATCGGATCGATGCCAAAATTTGCAGTGTCGCCCAGCCCTAGTGCAGAGGCGTTGTGCGCACTGTGTGAACATGATCTTACTGTAGTTCTAGACTAAACATGAACATGCATTTACTCATCTCACCTGCACAAAAGCAGATTCAGTGTTCCTCAAAATGAATAAAAACAGTCAAATGCAAACCTGCAATAATTAAATGTTAAATAAGACAAATATCATTTATGTATTAAATCCCATTTTATTAACTAATGCCTTCGCTACTGACCTTCGATGATCCACTTCAACCATACTAAGCAAAAATGACACATTTGTTACAACTTTCTTCTCCTGCGTCATATTCGTCATGCGATTTGTTTGAGCTGCGCCCTCTACTGTACAGACGTGAATTTACATTTCCTTCAGCCTGAGGCGTATTCATTTCACTTTTGGTGTGAAAAGGCTTTTACATTTGTAAAATAACTTTTTTATATTAAAAACAAACTAGCAAGCCATGCCCAGATTTAAAAAGTAACTCAAAAGTAAGGTAACGCATTAACTTTCCATAAAAAGTAACGTAATTAGTTACTCTTTTAGGGAGTAATGCAATATTGTAATGCTTTACTTTTAAAAGTAACGTTCCCCAACACTGCTGCAATCATTCATGTTTTCATGTGTGCACATGACAGATGGTTTATCTAAAGTAACTGACCAGTTCATGCATTCATCAAACCAATGACCTTGGTGTTGCTAGTCCCACTGTTTAAGCAATTTATCTCTTCTTAAAGTGCAAAAATATTCTGCTTCATTGATGTTGTATGTTGATTAATGCTGTCCTTCACAGGTTGTCCATGAGATCAGAAACTACCCATATCCTCAGTTACATCTGCTGGCTCTCCAAAGCCTCAGTCCGTCTCGCCATGCGTCTGCTGTGCGGGAGAGTTACGAGGTACCGTCACACTTGGTGTTCTTTATTGCACATCTTCTGCTTCACAGTTAATCATCATCTCGTGTCATCATGTATGTGGTTTTGATTCCAGGAGCTCCTGCAGTTGGAGGACAGACTGGGTAATGTGAACAGAGGGGCTGTGCAGACCACCATCGAGAGGTTTACCTTTCCTCACAAGTATAAAAAGGTAAAACCACAGCTGTATAATGGCCTTTAAAAAAAGCTCCACCTACGTTGCCTGTCAAGACTGTTGTGGGTCAACATTTGGTTACATCCTTGCATAATTATATTCCTTATCCTCCTGTTGTGTTGGGGTTAATTACTTGAAACTACTTCTTGAAATTTTGTGAGTTTTTCTCAATGATCATGAATTTTGTCATTGGTCATGAGTTTGCATGCAAAGATTCGACACATAGTTGTGTTTTGGAAAGGCTGTACAAATTTTGGTTACATCAATGCAGGGCTCGACAATAAGGACTGCCCGATGGCCCAGCGCCAGCGTGAAAGACGTTCGGGACAGTAGACGGATTCGTCACTTGCCCGATCGGGCCACAGCAGCGTCGTCACGAAATGTTATCATTTGCATGTGTTTTTAAGCCTTGTAAATTTAAAAATTAAAGTGATTAAAAAGCATTTGTGCGCGAAAGACTACATTCAGTACTCACGCGTTCAGTACAACAGACTATCTTCTGTTCCGTGCTTGCACACAAACTGCACTGCAATCATTTTCCCAAATGCCATTTGTTTGGAAATATTACGTTATTATTATATACTTTATTATTATTATATATGTAAACGGCCGTTAACAGAGGCCAGAGATGCTGAAGACGGACACAAAGAGGAGAAAATACTGTAGCAGGCAGAACAAGATCACGGTTCACGATGTGCGAAATATAGGAAGAAAATCCAAACACTGAATTTTATATGAATGTGTTTCTGAGTGTTTTCAGAAATGGCGTTTTCTTTTCATTTTGTCTCCGTATAATGCATTTAAATTAGTGTTAATACGCGCAGCGCTGCTGTGTTTACAGCGGTAACCAAGGAAACGCTGTACCATAAGCGCTGCTGTGTTTACATCGGTAACCAAGGAAACGCTGTACCATAAGCGCTGCTGTGTTTACAGCGGTAACCAAGGAAACGCTGTATCACTGTACCATAAGCGCTGCTGTGCTTAAAGCGGTAACCAAGGAAATGCTGTATCACTGTTCCATAAGCCCTGCTGTGTTTACAGCGGTAACCAAGGAAACGCTGTATCACTGTTCCATAAGCGCTGCTGTGTTTAGAGGTAACCAAGGAAACGCTGTATCACTGTTCCATAAGCGCTGCTGTCTTTACAGCGGTAACCGAGGAAACGCTGTATTACTGTTGTTCCATGAGCGCCGCTTGCTGTCAGAGAGTGAATCTGCGTCTCATTCAGCTCGTCTGCTGTTTCTGTTTCATACAGATGTTTTATGTAGCATAATTTCACAAAGCTAAAGTCAGGTTATTCTGTTTTTGCTTCAGTGTTTTTGCTTCAGATTTTGAAATTATACAGTCTAATATAAATCAAACATTGCACATGTATTTTTATTTTTTTGATCAATTCATGATTAAAATGCAGTGGTTGCCTCTGATTTCAAATGGCTATGAAAATTCAACGTGCAACACTTTTTTTTTCAATTTGATTTTTCAATTTCTGTACCTGAACATCTACAAACATAACCCAAAGCATCATTTAATTTCTATCTTTGTGCTATAGGCCTTTATTTAATTGTGCTATTGTTCATTTGTTCTTATTTACTGGCTGTCACTTGTCTTTAATAATGTTTAAACTTTATATTTATGTTTATTTTTGGCTAGTGATTTTTTGCTGTGGTATCGAAATTGAAATAGAGAATTGTAAAATTAAATTGGTATCTAAAATATTGGTGTCATATAAGCTTTTTTATTAGAATACAAGATAACATAGATCATAAACAATGATAACAGCAACTATTTTATTTTTTGTGGCAGGGCCAGTGAAAATGTTGGCAGGGCAAGTACAAATTTGAACCACTGACCCGACCGAGCCAGTAGAAAAAATCCTTAGTGTTGATCCCTGCAATGGTATTGGGGTCAAATTCAGCCTTCATGGGTTTCCATGCAATTCACCAAAAATCAACACTTTGAACAAACCTACACCATTTTAAAATGCATATTATGTGGGTTTGTAAGGTGAAAGTTGCTGGAGAATTACCTGACCTTTTATACATTTTTAGTATGTGGCCCTGCAGCACAAAAGCAGTGTTAAGTCGCTGGGGTATATTTATAGCAATAGCCAACAATACATTGTATAGGTCAAAATTATCCATTTTATTTTATGCCAAAAATCATTAGGATATTAAGATATTAAGATCATGTTCCATGAAGATATCTTGTAAATTTCCTACCGTAAATATATAAAAACGTAATTTTTGATTAGTAATATGCATTGCTAAGAACTTCATTTGGACAACTTTAAAGGCGATTTTCTCAATATTTTTTTTTTTTTGCACCCTCAGATTCCAGATTACCATACATCAGAAACCTACATACAGAAACCATACATCAATGGAAAGCTTATTTATTCAGCTGTATGTATAAATCTCAATTTCGAAAAATTGACCCTTATGACTGGTTTTGTGCTCCAAGGTCATATATGTGACTGTTTTACTCTTGACTCCTGGTTGAACCTGTAATTTATGAAGTGTACGTTTCTTCTGGATGTGCTAAAAGACTAATAACTGATGGTGTGATTTGTAGAGGAGACCTCTAGAGCTGAAGATCGGCATGGATGAAGAGGAGCTCGACACGGATGAGAAATGCACAATATGCCTCTCGATGCTTGAAGACGGAGAGGACGTGAGGTACTTTGACGCTCTACTCATAACTCACTCAACTATGTAAATAGTGGCCTTATCTTTCAACAAATTCTGTTTTTCTTTCCCCAGGAGATTACCCTGCATGCACCTCTTCCATCAAGCTTGTGTTGACCAGTGGCTGGCAACCAATAAGAAGTGTCCCATCTGCAGGGTAGACATTGAGACGCAGTTGTCCCCCGATAGCTGATGTCTCGTGTAGCACTAGCTATAAAGTCCTGTCGTATTTCTTCGTCCCCTCGTGGGCACTTTGCCAAATGTGTGTCATCTCCATCACCTCTCACCTCTGACCTTTGCCTTCTGAGCCAACTGACGATGTAGAACGGGGAAGACGAAAAGCGCTGAAGACAGAGTCCAGCACATGGAGAAGAACGAGTCTGTCGATGAAGATGGTTTCAGTCAAAGTGCTCTGCATGTGTGCGTGTTTAGGACGGCAAATGCCGCTCCGAACGTCTCTGAATGATCTCAAATGAAGACCAACCAAATGTTCTCAGTGTTCAGTAGGTCACGGATGAAGCATTACAGCATGAACGCCACAAAGTCCGACACATTACACGTGGTTGGTCATGAACTTTAAACGTAGTTGAACGAATCATTTGTGGAAAAAAAACAAACAACGGGAATCAAAGTCATTGGCGAATGAGAGAAGCGTAAGAGTAGAACAATGACCCTGTGTTTAAATAAGCTCCGTCGTCGTGTCTGTGATTATCGGAGGTGATGCTTGACGTCCGTATGTAACCGTAAGGCCAAGCTTGATATGAACCGTGACAGTCCGCATTTTGTGCTCGTGATGCCTCCGACACTTAGAAACGTATCCACCACCAAATGCATGTTGAAGCGAGAGGCCGGGGTTCTTCTGACGAGGGGTCGACGTGCATGAGGATGTTTCCCGCGCGATACTCTACTAATCCTGAAGACACTGTGTTCTCGATGCGTCTCCGAAGTCACCACGAGTGAAATATGTACCTTAATGCCTGTAGCACAAGCACACGTTGAATAGTAACGGCATAACTCGGTGTTTCCATTCGCTCTGTGACGCGTGGTCGTAAAGCAGCATCTGTAAAGTCATAATGTGCATGAAATCTGTTTGCTGCCATTTCTAGAGGACATGACAAGGGAGTAAAGCCATTTGTTTTATAGAAACCAAACATAACTTTTCTAAGCTGTACTTCATTATCACTCTTCCTCGTTTGATTCCAGGTTGCCAACCTGTGTGCGGGGCTGGTACAGCTTCTCGACATAAGTAGCTGCAATGCTGGAAAAAACAAACAAGCAAGTTATTTATTGTCGTCTTTATGTAGTTAGTGGTTATTTTTGTAAATGCACTCACTTTCCGATGAGGTCGTGTGATTGTTTCTCTTTCCCTGCTTTTGCATTTGCACTCAGTTTCCTTGCGTATCGTGCACTCCATCCAAAAAGAGAATAAACGAAAAAACAAACAAACAAGGGAACAGACTTTTTAACAGCGCTGTTTCTTTGCGTAGCGATAGTTGTTGCCTCACTGACCACTTTAAATATACGTGACTGTTTTTTCATAGCATTTCAGATGTCTTCGTAGTGTGTTTGACGAAATAACCTTCTTGACTTTGCTTTCGAGAACTTTTCCAGAATTCAAGCGTTCAGCTGCTTGGAGGCCATCTTGTTTTCAATCTTTCGTGTCAGTGAGCGTCTGCCGCGCGATCTTGTCTCATCGTCCGTCTGCGTTTTATAGTTTACACGTTATATTGTGCGTCGAAATGCCTTAAGTATTTAACAATCATAATTTATTACTACCTTTACCTACTATGGGTGCGTATTTAAGTTTTGAACTAGTATCGCAATGTAATCGGTCGGTTTATTTATTTGCGTCAGCATAACGTGTATAAATACCTCATTGTGCTATACTTTAATGGGAGTGCTTTGCATGCGGTTGTACTTTAAGGGGCATACGTGTCAAAACAAGCTCTGAGGGCGTGCTAGTATGTGGTGCTGTAGTTTTCTTGGTTACATTCCATTAATGCAATTTGAGCTAGTAGGCAAACTGTTCAATGGACTGGAATTGTTTTGCATGTCTCTCCTGTTTTTGCACTCTCGGCTTTGCGAACATCGTCCGCTCGTCTCGTCGCTCTGAACCGAGCCGAATGTGTTTTCAGTAGCGAGGAGTGAGTTGTGATTATAGCTGCTTGTCTTGTGCCCATCTGGCTTTAACTTTCGATTACAGCCGGCCATTGTATGCTGTATTTTTAATCGGGATTTAAAGTGATGCTTATTTTTTTCCCCATGAGTAGCAGATTTCCTTTACTTTTCTTTACGTATCGGTACTTCATAAGAGGGGCTTTAAATGTCTGAATGCAGGTCGTGTTTTGGTACATTCTAGCGTAGCTGCTGTACGTTCATTATATTTCAAGATTTTTGCACGTCAGGTTATTTAGCTTCAATCCCCCAAATATCAATCTGCCAATACGGCGTTGTGTTTTACAGTAGAAACACACCGATACTGCAGATGACTCTTATTTCCGGTGAAATAAGCGGTTTTCCTGCCATACGAAACACTCTGTACCTGGAATATTTTCTACACACTTAAAAATTGTTGCGCCGAAATAGACTAAAAAAGAACAATGGCTTTATATTTTATGATTTGTGTTTCTAGTCTCACCTTTGACCAAGTCAAGTCAAGTCTCTTGATTTGATCCATCTCTCCAGCAGATTTTGGACATAAGCAATAGTAGTATCATGTTTCGCTAACAGACTGAACCGTAGATCCTAAAGCACAAGCTCTTGTAATGCATGTCTTTCTCAGGTTTTAATATGCGTATGAGAATGGATACATATGTTAAAATATTTGACCATAAATATTTCTGATGTTTTTTCTGCTGCTGACATAAAAAGAAAAAAGAAAAAATAGTTGAATAACCTGCCAGTGAAAGGGAAGTGGCTCTTTGTATAAGACACTGCTGTGTGCTGTTACTGCGCAATGTTTTCTGACATGAATATTTTATAGCTCAAGTAGAAAAATATGTATTGACAATATTTAAGCAATAGCTTGGTGATTATAATGTATGATAACTAGATAAGTGTATATTGCGTAAAAAAAAATCTTAGATTCACTTTGGGTGGATTTTGTACTGTATTTATTACTAATGATGATGCAAAAAGTTGCATAGCTTAACCCAAATTTTCTTTCTTTTTTAATTTCTTGTCTTGTATATGACCCTTTTTGTATGTGGTTTTTTCAAATAAAATGTAAAAAATGGCTCAACATATTTTTCAGTGTTGTTTCATGCACAGCTGACGTCATCTACATGGTGAATATTAGCCGTTAAATCAGGAACTTGAACATATTTGTGTAAGGACCTGTCCCAATACTTATGGTCTTGACCACTTGAGAACACATACCCTGCGTCTCAATGTTCATACTATCCATCCTAAATAGTATGTGAGATTTGAATAAGTGTGTCCCAAAGCATAGTATGTTGAAAAGAGTATGCCAAAAGTCCCCGGATGGTCTACTATTTCAGGTCGATTTTTGAAGTGTGGATCCATGCACACTCTAAAGGCTAAAATTGCCCACAATCCATTGCGCTTTGGCGAAGGATTAGGTCCAGAACTACAAACACGAATAAAACGCGTTAGAAAAACGTGGCGGATGCGCGCGATCGACGGTTAGGTAGAGAGGCTTAAAGCCCCGTTCACACCGCCAGCGACTTTTTCGCTGTTTGTCGCTTGTGGCTGCTCCATTGAAATTAATGGGATTATGTCGCTCTGTCGCTGTGTGTCGCTGGTGCCCCGTTCACACTACAAGCGACACGTAACAGCAAAGCGACACAATCCCATTCATTTCAATGGAGAGCTGCCGATTTCCGGCGACACGAGCGACAG